CCTCACTCAGTTTGCAGCAGCTCCTCGTTAAATGCAACTTAACACTCCAAGAGTATGAAGGATGCCTCAATGTTATCAACAAATCCAGTGCGGTGATCCTGAAACGTGAGCCAAAGGACTGCTGGGTAAATGGATATAATGCACATCTACTGGAAGCTTGGGATGCCAATATTGATGTCAGTTATATTCTCAATGCATATTCGTGCATCATGTATCTCACCAGCTACATCACCAAAAAGGAATCTGGACTTTCTGAGTACCTCAAAACAGTCATTGAAAACTCCACCAGAGACCACGTCAATGAATGTGATGAAATGAGGGAAATCATGCAGGCGTACTCTAAAAAGAGAGAGGTCAGTGCTCAGGAGTGTGTGACTCGCGCATGTGGAATAAACATGAAGAAGTGTTCACGTGGTGTCATATTCGTACCGACAGATGACAACGCACTGAAAATGAGTCGCCCCATGTCTTACCTGGAGAACACAACATTAGAAAGTGTAAATGTGTGGATGACATCTTTGACTGACAAATACAAATCCAGACCAGAAACACCAGAGTTTGAGCAAATGTGTTTGGCTGATTTCGCAGCTACTTGCAGAATTGTCTACGGCCAGCAGAAAAAAGGAAAAGATGTGTTGCCTCTCCTCAATGACATGGGATTTGTGCAAAAGCGTAAAAACGATAAGCCCGCTATCATCCGATTCTACCGCTGCTCACAGGAAAAATATCCAGAGAAGTTCTATGGCACATTACTGAAACTGTACATTCCTCACCGATCAGACCTGGAACTGAAAAGACGGCATTTCCCCACGTACGAGTCCTTCTACAAGAGTGGTTGTGTCCAACTACCAGGTTCTGACCATCCTGAGTATGTCCGTCACATTGTGAAACGAAACAAAGACAAATATGAGAAAAACAGCGAGGACATTGAGAATGCAGTGGAAGAATTTGAACAGAACAGAGGAGTGATTGATGAATGGTGCAATCTGGCTCCAGAATCTGAAGTGGAAAGGTTGGAATGTATAGAAGAACTCGAGGCAAGAGAGCCAGATCATGAAAATGTTCAAGAAAATGTTCCAGAATACACTAATCAAGCTAATGCTGCAACAGAAGCCAGAGCCATCAGAGAGCCTCCGGCCTTTGACCCCACAGTGCTACGGCAAATGTATCAGAACCTGAACCAGAAACAAGCATGTGTGTTCTATGCAGTTAGAGACTGGTGCGTAAAGCGTGTTTGTGGCCTAAATCCTGAGCAGTTTTTCTTTTATGTCAATGGTGGTGCTGGAACAGGAAAGTCACATCTCATTAAATGCATCTACTCAGAAGCATCTAAGATACTGTGCAAACTGCCCAGCCATTCTGAGGAGGTCGACATATCAAACCCCACGGTCCTGTTGACAGCTTTCACTGGAACTGCAGCCTTCAATATATCAGGATCAACACTGCACTCTCTGCTCAAGCTTCCACGAAGTCTGAAACCTCCATTTCAAGGACTTGGTAACCAACTGGATGAAGTCCGATCAGAACTTTTAAATGCTGAAATCCTCGTCATTGATGAAGTGTCTATGGTATCAAAGCCCCTGTTTGCTTATGTGGATGCAAGACTGAAACAGATCAAAGGTAGTACCAAACCCTTTGGAGGAATGTCAGTAATAGCTGTTGGAGACTTTTATCAGCTACCACCAGTGCGACAGTCCAAGACCCTCTGTGTGTACGAGCCATGTGAGATTGACCTATGGCAGGAACACTTTCAGACAATCACCCTGACTGAGATTATGCGGCAGAAGGATGATGTTGCCTTTGCAGAGATGTTGAACCGGATCCGTGTGAAAGGAAAGTCAGATGAGTTGTCTCAAGCAGACAGAGCCTTGTTGTCACAGACCATCACGGAACCATCACTTTGTCCACCTGATGTCCTGCACATCTTTGCAACTAATAAACAGGTTGATTCACACAACTCAGTAACATTAGCTCTGCTCCATTCTAATATCACCAAGATCGATGCAGATGACTACAAGAAGGACCCACGAACTGGAAGAATGGCTCGACAAGCCCAACCATACAAAGGAAACAGAAATGAGTTACCAGACACACTAAACGTAGCTGAAGGTGCTCGAGTCATGCTCACCAGAAACATAGACGTGTCTCAGGGATTGGTGAATGGATCGTTTGCTACACTAGTCAGGGTAATAACCGCAGAACAGAGTGGTGTTGCACATGTCACTATGCTCGGGCTCAAGATGGATGATCAAACTGCTGGAAGGAATTACCGTAATAGAGCACCAGGCGGCCCTGATGATGTGGTGTACATAGAGAGAGCAGAGGACAATCTGAAACAGAAAGGAGTTGTACGCAGACAGTTTCCTGTTAGACTTGCCTTTGCCTGCACGATACACAAGGTTCAGGGTATGACGAGGACATCAGCTGTAGTGTCACTGAAACACATTTTTGAACCTGGCATGGCTTACGTAGCCATCAGTAGAGTGACCTCTCTCAGTGGACTGCACATGCTGGATCTGGATGAGAGTAAAATCTATGCCAACCCAGAAATCACTGGAGCCCTCGAGACCATGAGACAAGTCAACTTGGACGACGTGATGCCTCTTCTTCGTATCACACAGACATCGAGCAGACATGACACTCTGACCATTGTTCACCATAACACGGAAGGTTTGCCATCTCACATCAATGACATCAGGAGCCCATCATGAACTGTGTCTTGCAGATGTTTTGTGTCTCACAGAAAACTCACCTTCAAGGCTCCTTTGTTGCAGAGAGTCTCCATTTAGAGGGCTACAACATGTTCAAACGCAACAGACACCTGTCCTACACAAATATTCCACAAATAGCCAACAGAGGTGGTGGTGGAGTTGCTGTTTATGTGAAAAGCCACATTCAGGTGCGTGAGAAACAGTACGTACATAATGTGACCGATCTTGAGTTTGTGGCTCTGAAGGTAGAAGCCCCAGTGAGAGCCCTGATTGCAGCTGTGTACAGACCTCCAGACTACAGTGTGAGATCATTCCTGTCCAACCTGGGGAGCCTGCTGGACTCATTGGAGATCATGGACTGTCAGCCCATCATTGTCTGTGGTGATTTCAACGAGAATCTCTTCTCCAACACTGGTAAGCCAATCCTTGAGCTCTTCCAGTCCAGAGGATTTGCACAAGTCATCACTGCTGCAACCACTGACAAGAACACACTGCTGGACCTCATTTTCATCTCTCAACCACAACGCTGTCTCCAATCTGGTGTGATGAGAACTTATTACAGTTATCACAACCCTGTTTACTGTGTCATGTCCTTTAACAGTCCATGAAGGTATCAGGTGAGTTTTAAAGAAAAATGCAATGTACTTGTATATAAATTGATTTAATACAATTATGCATGATTATACAGAGGAGGGGGATCCGCCATACAGCCGTTTCCATCTTTCCACCACAGCAGGGCCTCCATTCTGGTACAATAAAAAACATGTCACTTGTCACAATCATGTTTTCTGTCTACATTCCTCCAACAGGTCTTAAAATTGTCAGGTAAGACCAAAATCTACTGAGAATCGTGTACTTTTTTTTTTAACAATACCACATTGTTGTTAGTCTGGGATTATGTAATCTTCAATGTAAAGAAAACTGAATCATCTGGTCAAACTAGTTGTTGCACTGCAATAAGATTGTAGAATGGGCTAATTTTAAGTGTTCACAATATTGGATAATATTATGGGTCATATAATTTTCCAGGTAACCATGTTAATTTTAGCAATATTTCTAACACATTCTGGCCTGTGCATTTATCAGGGTGGGTTTGGGTCAGGGTTGATAAATGCACAGGCCAAAAGTCTTTCAGCAGCTGTGTACAATGTAAAATTCATTGTACACAGCTGCTGACATTTAGTTTAGCAGACGCACATCAGAAAGTATGTGTTCTAGATGTAACACATACTTTCTGATGCACCTACCAGCTGAAACCCCACACTTCCATCCCCATTAATTTTATTTTAATTACCCTGTGTTTTCTGTAGTGTTACGTTTCCTTTGTATTGAAAGCAGTCACAATTGTCATGTTTCCTATGTAGTGTTAAGTTTCCTTTGTATTGAAAGCAGTCACAATTGTCATGTTTCCTATGTAGTGTTAAGTTTCCTTTGTATTGAAATCAGACACAATTGTAATGTTCCCTATGTAGTGTTAAGTTTCCTTTGTATTGAAAGCAGTCACAATTGTCATGTTTCCTATGTAGTGTTAAGTTTCCTTTGTATTGAAATCAGACACAATTGTAATGTTCCCTATGTAGTGTTAAGTTTCCTTTGTATTGAAAGCAGACACAATTGTAATGTTCCCTATGTAGTGTTAAGTTTCCTTTGTATTGAAAGCAGACACAATTGTAATGTTCCCTATGTAGTGTTAAGTTTCCTTTGTATTGAAAGCAGACACAATTGTCATGTTTCCTATGTAGTGTTAAGTTTCCTTTGTAATGGACAGAAGACACAGTCCTCCTGTGTCCTCTATAGTGTTACGTTTCCTTTCCGATGGACAAGAGACAAAGTTCTCATGTGTCTTTGTAGTGTTAAGTTTCCTTTCTGATGGACAGGAGACACAGTCCTCCCTTGTCCTCTGTAAAGACACCTTCCAGTCTTGGCCTCACCTCCTTCTGCACTGTGAGGATCAGCTCACAGCATCTAAGACATGCCAAAGACTGCAGCACCAACTGAACTGTCAATCAACCGAGGACCCATCACAGTTAGACCCCATAGGGACACATTTGACTTCCTGCCTGTCCCCGTCATTCTTCAAAGCAAAGGACGAGAAAACACCTGCCTGTCTTTGCCTCACTTCCTGTCTGGCTCTGAGATTCGGGATCAGCTCATACCGACCAGGACATCCTGCCACCACTGCAGCAGCAGAGCAGATGTTGAAGCACCGTGTTAACTGTTCATCATCAGTGGACACTTGCTGGACCACGGAGAGACGTGTTCTCCCTGCCAGTGTTGAGGTTTCTTCACAAAAGATAATAAGGTATTGTTTTCTTATTTCATATGTGATTTCTAATGTTTTGTTTTAATTTTGTTATCATTCACGTATTCATTTTGTATGAAAGCAATATTCTTAATAACACTAATTGTTCATCCAATATAACGTTCTAATTTTATATCCACTTCTTCCTTCAGGTCTTCCTCCTCTGTGATTCCTCCACTTCACAGTGAAGACACTCAGGACTGCAGAGAGGGCTGAACACATAAAAGAAGCTGAACATCATGCAGCGTATTCAGTTTCACTGGACTACATGTTGATCTGCTCTGCACTGCTCTCAGAGTTCAAGGTATTTCATTACTGTGAATTATAAACCTTTTTAGAAAGTTGAGTTTCTAACAATAACTTCCTGTTTTATTTTTGTCAGGATCAGGTGTGTGACTGCAAGGAAGAGTCATCAGTCAGTCATCACTGTCCGAGTGACAGCCCCACCTTTATGCAGCTTCAAGCTCCTCCCTAAACCAGCTGTAAAGGTAACAACTGGGATTAGATCTTTTTAAAAATATATCTCTGACCACAACAAAACAATCCCCTGGTAGTCTTACTACTTGCATGTGCTGTTTACATTTTTAACAACATGAATACATTTTCTCCTGTTTCTGTCTTTAAGGCCTCTCCTCCTCCATGTAGCTATAGTAACACTATCCTGACGTGATGACTGGAGCAGTGGATCTACAGCCGCTGCACAGGTCAAAGGTCATAATGTTACAGGTCTTCAAAGCATACACTACTAACTCATGAACAGTATTACTACAGGACACCTGTCTATTTTGTTTGTTTCATCTCTACCGTATTTGATCTAACAATATACGTTTTCCTTGTGTTTCATCGCATTTTTTTTTGTTGATTGTATTTATTTATTTATTATTTTTTTATTTGTCATCCGTCCCTTTTCAGTCAGATTTATGAGAAAATTAAGGATGAAAATGTTTGTTTGATTGCCTCGTGCATATGAACAAATTAACCTTGAAGAAATTACATATTTGTATCACAATGAGTCATTAGTATGGGGTTTCAGCTGGTAGGTATATTCAAGGTTTTTCACATGTGTACACCGATCCTTAGGATAACCTAAACTCTACTGAGACTGCCCAGTGTTAAATTGTAAGAATGTGAAATCCATCAAGTGTGTCATCTTCAGATGGCTAAAACATGACTTGGTGCAAAGAGCCTTGTCAAAAGATTTAATAGGAAAACAAATCCTACAAAGCTTGGGTCCTAACCTTGAGTCAACAAGTGACTCTAACCTCTAATGTTCCATCAAAGTAAGGAGAACCCAGTGTGTCTGTGAGCCTCAGTAAACTGAGCTTAACGCTGGGATAGTCTAAACGACAATGTTGACAAGACTTATCTGTCCAGGGCTCCTGGACCTTGAAGTCTTGAACTGAGTATTAACCTAAGTCTGGAAACGATGTGAAAAACCTTTGATTGTAGGAAATGAACCACATTGTTAACTATTGAAACTATAGTACATTTATTCATGAATAACACAGAGACCAATGTTCACAAAACTGTGTTGATACATTTCTCACTCTAAGATGTTATCTTTCACGAAATACTCACTCACAAAATAATTATGACCAATACAACAGTACTTGTGCACTGTACTCATCTATATTATTTCTTTATATTTCGATAGAAGATAATGAGTCAAAAAAGAATGTAAAGACGGGATCTTCTTTTGTGTTGTATTTCAACTCTTAGCTTTGTTAAATGCTGCACTTCATCTTCCACACTGCCAATTTTGAAATTAAAATATTATGTTTTCCTGCTGTGCTGGTCTTCACTTTTTGGCATTAACACTTATTCAGCAAAGCCATTGGAAATTTCAATATTTTCAGAAATTGAACTTAATTTCATCTTTGAGCTTGCTGGTAAATTGTCATTTTTATATCATGAGCATTTTTTTTTAAATTCATTTCAGTTTTTCGGCTTGTTGGTACATTTTCGGATTTCTGTATTTTCAGCCGTTTTTGAAATTCATTTTAGCTATTTTTTGCAAGATTTCACATTTATTTCAGCTGTTTTCATTTCTGCTTTTTCAGCAAATCTATTGAAATTCCTTTCAGCTTCTCCCATTTCTGTATTTTCAGCAATTTCAAATTGATTTCAGCTTTTCTAATATCTGTAATTTCAGATGTATTCAAATTCCCTTCAACTTTCTGTATTTTCAGCTATTTTCAAATTGGATTTCAAATTTTCATTTCAGCTTTCAGCTTTTTGCATTCCAACGCATTTTCAGCAGGAAATGCCTTTTCTAGTTAAAAACTTCTTAGTTTGAATAACAAACATTCTGTCTCCCACTACGAATATTACTCGTACTTCTAGTACTACAACTGATACTTCTACTACCATACTACTAGTATTTCTACTGCTATTAATACTACAACTACTACTAATGTTATTACAAATACGACTATGGCTAATAGTATTACAGCTGTTTCTACTGCTATTGATACTAAACCTACTATTACTGCTAGTACTACTAATACCACAATTATAACTAATACTACTACTAATATTACTACAAACAATTTTAAACAAATTTAAGCTCCTGCAACTTCTGTTTTTAGAAAATCTATTGAAATTCAGCTTCCCCACTTCCTGTATTTTCAGCAGTTCTTTAAAATAATTTCAGCTATTCTTATGCCTCTATCAACAGCAATTTTTTAATATTCATTTCTGTATTTTTTTGCAATATTTCAAATTTATTTCAGCTGTTTTCATTTCTGCTTTTTCAGCAAATCTATTGAAATTCCTTTCAGCTTCTCCCATTTCTGTATTTTCAGCAATTTCAAATTCATTTCAGCTTTTCAGCAAATGTATTCAAATTCCCTTCAACTTTCTGTATTTTCAGCTATTTTCAAATATTCAGCAAATGTACTCAAATTCCCTTCAACTTTCTGTATTTTCAGCTATTTTTAAATATTCAGCAAATGTATTCAAATTCCCTTCAACTTTCTGTATTTTCAGCTATTTTTAAATATTCAGTGCAGCTTTCAGCTTTTTGCATTCCAACGCATTTTCAGCAGGAAATGCCTTTTCTAGTTATTATTAGTTGGAATGCTTCAAGCATTCCAAGTATTGTTCTTCGAATCTTTATTCAACTTATTATTATTATTATTATTATTATTCTTCTATTTCTTCCGTGCCACCTTTCAACTCCTTCACACTTTCAGCTATTAAAATCCTTCAAATATTAAAATGTTCAGCTTCTTTCTGGCTTCCGGGCTATGACTTTTCAGCTTTCTACCTCTTAAGCTTGAATTTATATAAATCAATAATCGTTAATATTTTAACATGGTTTTCAAATGGAGTTTGCTTTTCAAATCCTCTTCAACTTCTTCAACTTTCAGATTTTTCAGCTTCGCCAATCTTTCAGCTACAGACACCATTTCAACTCTCAAATGTTCACACAAGTCTCAACTATTTTATGAAAAAAACTGCTTCTTGATATCTATTGTACTTTTTTCATAATCACTGATTATGTTTCACTAGTTCTTCGCTCCGTTTCTGACTTTTACATGAGTGTGTATTGCGTCTGCTAGAGTGGAGAGCTCGAGGCTAGAGTGTGGGGCATCGCAGGAATCTGGTTAAAAAAATATGGAACTTTTGTCCTTGCAGCCAAAGTATACACTCTAGAGGCTTCATTTCTTCAGATTAATGAGGGTATGGTTGTGCTGATTGGATTAATGTGTTCATGGAATCCCAGAGTTTTTTAGTTTTGGCGCAAGGAGTGTTTGAGTGACACAACCTCTGCCAAAAGCCCCATAGGCTCCAATACAAATCTGCCGACATATTTCTCACAAAAATCCACAAGGTACACGTTCTGTCAACGGCCATAGGAGCCGTATTTATTACCGGACAGACATAAAAAGCACATCCACGCGTTCGGTAGAGTCTTGGGTCTCATACAAACGCCGTATTTTTTAGATAGCTGTTATAGTTTTGCGCTGGTTCTCATTTGTCTGAGGTGTGGATTCTGTGTAACTTGCTGCCATGTCTCCCCTTTTGCAGGCGGCACAGGTGCGGTGTTGTCGTGGGTACGAGCACTCACATGCTGCAGGATCTGTCTGTGGACTCACAGCTGCTCCTTGTGACCTGATTAGGGGAGTCACCATGACGCAGCTATGCTTTCT